CCAACACCACATGCTCATAGCTTGAGGGTTGGGTGCCCTAGCCCAGATAAGGCAAGACACCCTGGGATACACTAGGAAAGCTGGTGGCAGGGCCTGCAGGGGATGCAGCTCCAGGGGCCAGCATCAAGACCACAGAGAGCCCTGGGCCTGGTTCAGGGGCCAGGCTTGGGGGAGGTGGCGGGAGCAAGGGCAGTGGCCTCACTGCCCGCCAGACTACTCAAGAGAAGCAGGTGGGAGCTGCAGAGGGGAGCTGTGCTTCCTTCACACTAGGCAGGTGAGAGGCTTCTCCCAGGGGTGCCAGGCAGGGCCTACCTAGACGGCTGATTGACTACCAGAGCTCTTCCTGAAACAGTGCCAGGAGTTTCCCGTGAGCAGAAGGAGCTAAGGCTCAGGTTCTGGGCAAGAACAGGCCGGGTGAGGACAGCACAGGCACATGCTGTCCCACAAACAGCAGGGGATGAAAGGAGGCCCTTGGGGTGAGGCACCAGCTAATGAGGACCGGCTGCCACAGGCTCTGGGGACTGAGGGCTGCAGGAAAGGCTGTAGGACTGGCTTGTGCAGACTAAGTCACAGCAATAACGCAGACGTGGATTTTCTGAGGCATTTGTATTAGCATTTTCCCATCTTTGCTGTTATAATTGGCAAATAAGAATCATGTCTATTCAAGGGATACAACCTGGCTTTTCCCCAAGAGTTCTATAACTTTACTGCAGCAAAATACACACAACAAAAGTTTTTGTTACTTTAGTCATTGTAAAGCATGCAGCTCAGTGTCATTAACTACATTCACAAGGTGATAGTATTATTCTACCCCCAGGATCCCAAACTTTCTCTGCACCCACACCACTTCACAGTCCGGCTGCAGCTCCTGACCCCACAGTCACTTTTGCCTTTGTGGGGTCCCTCCGCCGACCCCCACAACTATGACCATGCAGTGCAGCTTCTGCTCTCTCACTGAGCATGCTGTTCTCAGAGTTCTTCTGGTAGGCAGCATGCAGTGACAACAGCACCAGACATTCACCAAAGTTAATGGCAGAGCCACAGCTGACCAAGAGTACGTCCTTGCTCAGAAGACACCTCCAAATGCAGTCAAGCTCAAAAGTCTCCAAGCTATCGCTTTCAAACAGCAAGGTAGGGGACAAGAGCATTTCCTGTTACTTATGCAGAAGCTATGTCCTCACTATATATGCTAGTTTGCATAGAGAAATTTTCCATATAAGTTCACAGAGAAATTCATAATCATAATTGGAATTTCAACACTCTTCTCTCACACCAAAAACCTCAGTGAAAGTATAGAAGATATGAATAAACGTCTCTTATACAGGACCTTCCAAGTGCTGTTGAGGGACTCAGGGCCCTCTTTCTGATCAGGATCACAACCTGGTGGACTCATCTGCCTCCATATCATCGGAGCAGCCCCAAAGCACAGAGCTTGGAGTAGTCCCAAACACCCTCCACAGAAGGGAGCAAGAAACATTCTCCAGGATGAGTCGTATAGATTATTAGCCAAACTGTGATTACAATAAAATGAAATAACTATGAGAAAAAAATGGGGAAATTCACGATATATGTATATCGAATAATACACTCTTAAATAAGCACTCAAAAATGAAATAAAAGGAAACCATAAATACTTGAGAGAAATGCAAATTAAACTACAACATACTAAAACATGGGATATAGCTAAATCAGGGAATCTAAGTATATTTATAGTGCTGAGTACCTATGTAATAAAAAGAATAAAAACCCTGGCCCCAGAGTACAGGGAGGAGAAGGGGAAGAAAGAGGGGAGGGGAGGGAGAGAAGAGACAGATGAGAAGCAGGAGGTGCCAGGTCGGAGGGTTTAGGTACAAAAGTGGTGTTAAGGAATGACAGAGCCAAATATCCAAATCACGGAGTCAACAACAGTGAAATCAAGAGACTCTTTAACAACTGAAGTTAAAAAGGTGCCTGTCAAGAGTGCAGGCTAGGGGACAGGGGTATGGGAAGGAACCTGGGAACCCCGGTGGAAGGAAGTTGACGCTGGTGGTGAGATCAGTGTTGCAATATTGTATGTCTAAAACTCAACTGTAAATAACTTTGTAAATCATGGTGCTTTAATACATTTTTTTAAAAAAAATAAACATCTAAAATTAAATAATCTACACTTCTACCTCTACTACTGGGCAACAAATCATAGAGAGCCTCTCAGAGAGCCTGGCAAGCTACCGAGAGTATCCCACCTGCACAGCAGAGCCTGGAAAGCTACCTGTGGCATATTTGATACGCCAAAAACAGTAACAATAACGGGTCTCATTCCCCTGGCCCTGAAAGAGCCTCCAATATAGCAGCGTTGGGAAAGACGAGTAAGGAGAGGCTGCTAAAATCTCAGGGCTGGGACGAATGGAGACATTACTGGTGCCTGTTCAAGTAAATCGATGAACAACAGGATGACAGTCATACAGTGATACACTTCTACCTCAAGAAGCTGGAAAAAGAGAATATCAAAACAAGATTTGACAAAATTAAAGACTAAAAATCAATTATGATAATAAAATCTTTTTATATGGGAGTAACTCAATAAAAGCAAAAACTTTCTTTGAAAAGATTAGCAAAATGAACAAACATTTCATTTATTACTATTAAAGGAGGAAACATTCAAATCATCAAAATCAAAACTGAAAAAAAGGGGAAACAGGGCGACAGCTGAGTGGTAAGCATGCCCTGCATGCTGAGGGCTTAAGCTTGATCCCTAGAACTATAAAAGGTCAGTAACTCCCCAGTCTCTACTCTGAGTCTGCCTCCCCCAGCCCCAGTAAGTTAGACAAAAAAAGTTTTGAAGTAACATAAAAAAAAGTTTTTGAAAATTTTTGAAAAAAAATTAAAAACTACATAAATACTAAGTCATAGAGGTTAAAAGAATTATAAAGAAATTCTATGAAAAACTGTATGCCAACAAAATAGATAAATTAAATGGACAAATTAAAAAAGAAGTCAACACACATGGTCCCTCAAGTACCACCGGGAGGGGTTCCTGAGTGCAGAGCCAGGAGTAACCCCTGAGCATTGCTGCATATGGCCTGAAAAACAAACAAAAATCCTAAAGGCTATCAAGAAAGAAAGAAAGAAAGAAAGAAAGAAAGAAAGAAAGAAAGAAGGAAGGAAGGAAGAAAGAAAGAAAGAAAGAAAGAAATGCCAATCCTTCACAAACATTCACAAGGAAAACAAACACTTCCCAACTCCTTTTATGAGGCCAGTATTATGCTGATATCAAAAATTAGACAAGCATAAAAAAATAAAGACCAGGATCTCCTATCAATACACATAAAACTCTCAGTGAAATGCTAACAAATTGAATCCAGTAAGCTATAAAAAGAAAGATGTAACCTGACCAAGTGGAATTTATCCAAAGAATATAAAACTGCTTTGCATCTGCATATTAGTCAATGTAGTAAAACATATAAAAAATTAAAATTACATGATCAGCTGAATAGATGTAGGAAAAGTATTTGACAAAATTAAACAAGTTTTCAACTTAGTGCTTATCAAACTAAAATTAGAGGGATCGAGATCATATATTAAAACACACGCACACACAAGTACACACACAGCTAAAATCAACCCTACCCATGTTTCTTCTCTAAGACCAGAAACAAGACAAGAAAGTCAGGTCCTGCTGTTTCTACTGGAAGTGTCCTGGAGACTCTACCCAGGTCAATTAGACAAGAAAAAGAAATCACAAGTATTCGAATTGAAAAGAAATAAGTAAAACTATCTCCATTGATTTATACATAAATTTTATTTAGAAAATGCTAAGAAAAACACTAAAAGCCTACAAGAACTAATAAAGAAGTTCATAAAGATTCAGTACTGAGTATCAATACAAAAGAGATGGTTTCTTGCATCTCTCTCTTTTTTTTCCCTTTCGGGTCACACCCAGCAATGCACAGGGGTTACTCCTGGCTCATGCACTCAGGAATTACTCCTGATAGTGCTCGGGGGACCATATGGTATGCTGGGAATTGAACCCAGGTGCGCAGCGTGCAAGGCAAAAGGCCTACCCACTGTGCTATCGCTCAAGCCCCTCTTACATCTCTTTGACAAGCTTATTTTTAAATGCACATGGGATTTCAAAGGACCCAGAAAAGCCAAAAAAAAAATCCAAAGAAACATCAACACAGGAGAACTCACTTTTCCTCATTTCACAACTTACTACAACAGTAGCCAAGACTGTGGGGCAACACAAGGGCGCATCAGTCGATCAATGATTAGTGGATCAAAGCTATATTGATAACTGATTAAGTATAAAGTCCAGAAATAAAACCATGAGTCTTTGTCAACTGGTTTTCAACAGAACACCAAAACCATTTCTTCTCCAAGGATGAAAACAGTATTTCAACAAATGGTGCAACTGGACAACTAGATAGCTACACAGGAAAGAATGAGGCTGGGCTCTTCCTACCACCACATGCAGAGACAATTTCATTTTATTTCTTATTTGGATTGCTTTTTTTCCCTTCACCCCCCCCCCTTTTTTTTTAGTTTAACGTATTTAGATAGGATTTCCAGTACTATGCTGAATACAAGTAATGAGAGCAAGTTTGGTTGTGAACAGATATGGCCAGGAGTGGCCAGTGTGTTGTCAGGGGTGGTCAGCAGGCACAATAGAGAGGCTGTGGTCAGGGCTTGGTGAATAGCAGGCCAGGGCAGCTGTGTCTCAGGGACTCTGATTAAGCCAGGTCAGAAGTCAGTACATGCAGGAGCCCCACACCTGGGATAATTTGGGTGAGGATAACTGAAATCTGTACCAGACCAAGATGAGGTGAGAACTTGGAGCCCCCAAACAAGCATGTGGGGTCCGAGGAGAATGAACGGAATCTTTCCAAGGAATTTAATAATGTCACTTTGAGAAATGCGAAAGTCACAAGCCCCGACTCTTCCTGCCCATCTGGTCTCGCTGATGTCACCAACGGCCAGTTCAGCATCAAGAAGCTCAGGGTTGGGGAGCTTCAGGGCCCAGCTTATGAGGACGTCCACCTGCATCAGAGGAGACACGGGCAAACTGGGCCAGGCTCCCTGTGCACTGACACCATTCAAGGAGCAGAGCAGGGCTGGGTCTCCCCGCGCCCAGTTGCTCAGGTCTCCTGCAGTCAGTTAACCAGGGCAAGGTAGTAGGACAGGGTCCAGGACTCTCCCCGCCCCACAAGCTCACCCAGGGGGACATCTCACAGCCAAGGCTGAGACGAGAGTGAGGGTCACACACAGAGGTGGCGTCAGGGCCTTTATATGTAGGTGCTGACCAGGGCAGAGCCCTGAGTGTAGGAGCAGTACAGCAGAAAGAGCACTATGGACATGAGGGCACAGAAATGCGCACCCACGGAGTTCAGGACCAACTCCTCCTCTTCCTCCTCCTCCTCTTCTTCCTGCTCCACGTCCTCCTCCTCCAGGTCCTCCGCCTCCTCGGGGATTAGCTCCCCAGCGTCGTCGTACTCCTCCTCCCACACGTGGTGCCCAGACTCGCCAAGTCCCTCATTTTTCTCCCCCATGAGGACGGCACCAATATCCTCATAAACACCTTCCGAAGGTAGGTTCTCCGACATTCCAGAACCTGTGGAGTGTAGTCTGAGCTTTCTAGGGGAGAGCTCCTGGCAGCCTCACAGGGCGGCCTGAGGGGTCTCTCCTGCATGCCTGGGCCCTCCAGATCCAAGACTCACTGGCCATGGCTTCACACTGAATGCAGTGTCCTGCCCCCGTAACAAGATCCACACTTCCCTGGGTACCCAAGGCCAGGGATCCCAGTCCAAGGAACCCAGAAAGTGCCCCAGCCCCAGGTGACATGAGGGGCGGCAGACCCTGAACCTGTTCTGGGAATTGGTAGCCCTCTGGTGCCCTGTTCACAACTGAGGGTTCACAACTAAGAGGTGGTCATAGGTGCCAACCCCACACAGGGCAGTAGCCAGGGCCTCTGTGGGCCTGCTGCCCGTCCATGAGCCAGCATTCACCTACCCCTGCGAGTCTGTCTTCGTTGGCGGTGGCGGCACCACTGCACCCCCAGGGCAAGGGAGACAACACCCAGGAGGGTGCCCAGGAGGAGACAGAAGGTCATTGGCAAGGTCTCAGCCTGGAGGGCAGGCAGAGGGGCCAGAGGAGGGCCTGTGGACAGTGAGAGTTGCCTGTGAGCTGGACTGCCTGGGCTATTATGACCTTGGGTGTGACACGTGGGGAGGGGCACCCCAAGGGCAGAGGAGCCCTGGGCCACTGCTCCCCAGAGAGACTCTGACAGGTGGGCAAGAGGGCAGCAGGATAGGCAAGCTGGTCAGTCATAGACATGACTGCCCACTGCACACGCCACAGTGGCCACAAGGCCATGCCAACCAAGTCCCACCCCATCAGCAATGGAAGGCTGGGGGAGTGGCAGGACGGAGCCTGTGGTTCCCTCAGGCCAACACAGGGGAAAGAACGAAGCATCTCGCCTGTGTCCTGGTCATCCTACCTGAAACCAATGGCACGATGGTGGCCGCCCTGTGCCCTGCAGGGGAAATGGGTAGCAGAATGATGAAAGGAGCCTCAGCCCAGGGACCGCTGAGGCCATCTAACAGCTTCCCCTGGCGTCCAGAGGGGTGCTGAGGGGGACATGCCAACGAACCCAGCCCAGCATCCTTCCCAAACCCCAAACCCACACCACCACTCACTGGAGCAGCGTACGCCTGCATCCTCCTTGTGCCCACAGTCTCCGTGTCCCCACGGCTGTGCAGGACAGTCCCACAGGGCTGCCTCACTGCCACGGCATCCCACTTCATCCAGCCACACAGGCCCTGAGCCTGGACCAAAGGCAGCCCCTGGTAGAGCACTCAGAGCAGGGCCACAGCCGAGCTGGCGACACACAACCTCTGCATCCGCCAGGTCCCAGGAGTCATCACACACGGTGCCCCAGGAGCCCATGTACCAGAGCTCCACGCGGCCGGAGCAGCCGTCCTCGCCCCCACGCAGGCGCAGCGCCCCCTCTTCTGGAAAAGGGGGCTGCCGTCACGGAGGGCGGGCTGGACTGAGACGTGGGCTGGGAGATAAGGACAAGTGGTACCTGGGCAGCCGTGAGTGGAGGAGCAGTTCAGGGCATCCCCGGAATCCTGCGGCATCTTCTCATGCAACCCTGGTGGGTGAAGAAGCAGCACCCAGGAGTGAACTGTGCTGGCGAGTTTCAGGGCAGCCATTGGAGGCCCCAGGGAGGCCCAGCAACAGCCTCTCTGGGGTCTCAGGACAGGGGAGACACTCCCAACCCCCAGAGACAGAGGCACGCACCTGCACAGGTCACCCAGACTTCCTCCCCACGCACACAGGAGTGCGGGTGCCATGGGGCGGAGGGGCACTGCCACAGGGTGGTGTTTCTCAGCCTGCGGCACTTCACATTGTCCACCCAGGAGATGCCTGAGCCTGCCGTGTGACTGGGCCTGTTCTCCAGCCAGCCCTGCTCCCCACAGCCCAGCTGCTTGCAGATGATGGACAAGGAGGGGTCCTTCAGAGCATTGCTGCACACGGCACCCCAGGTCCCGTTGTAGAACACGTCCAGCCACCCTGCACAGCGGCGGGTGCTACCCCGAAGCCTCAGGGCCACAGAGCCTGGAAGGCAGCACAATTGGCCAAGGGAAAGCCTCTCACAGCACCAACACCGCCTCTCAGAGGCATCAAGCTCACACCAGCCACGCACCCATACGCTCGCCTGCCCGAGGGTACAGTTCATCACAAAGAACCGCCGTAAGTCCCCCATGTGATGTGTTAGCAGCATCACACAGCCAACCAGAGTTTGATCCCCAGCATCCGTGTGGTCCCCTAAGCCCTCCAGGAGTGATTCCTGAATGCAGAGCCAGGAGTAACCCCCTGAGTATCACTGGGTGTGGCCCAAAAGCCTACATATATATATATATATATATATATATATATATACACACACACATATATACAGAGAGAGAGATTATTGATCCATAATCTATACATGTACACATATATAATTTTAGTTAGGGTCCTGGCTTTAGCAGTGTTGGGTCTGATTCTAATACATAAAGAGATCTCGCCTCCACACCAGAGGAACCCATCCCTTGCCCCTATGTTGCTTCCAGACTGCCTCTTCTTACTTTTGTGAACCACATTAAATTCTAAATTTACCTCCCCCCAAATTAATAAAAATAGTACAGCAGGTCGAGTGCTTGCCTTGCAAGCAGCCAGGACCTATACAGATTTAATCCCAGGCACTACATATGGCCCTGCCCAGGCTACCAGGAGTGATCCATGAGCACCACTGGATGTGGCAAAAAATAAATAAATAAATAAATAAATAAATATGAGTAGATATCAAGTAAAAATTCAGGACCTGGCCCAGAGCTCCCTGCTGAGAGAGTTGACTTCCCTTGCTGCTTGCCACAAGCTATGATGTTTCCTGAACTTACGGATGGAGCTGCCACACAGACCTTTGCGCAGCCCTTTAAGACCACGCTCGTGGCAGAGAGTCAGGGGTCAGGCATTGGCCTGCACATGACCAATCTGGGCTGGAGATCCGCACCCTGAATGGTCCCCCAAGCCCCGCCAGGACGCAGCCCTGAGCACCGCCAGGCAGTTATTCCTCAAAACACACAGGCTGGGAGAAGCTTTGCAGGCCCCGTCACAGGGGCTCGGGTCCCAGCACCCACCTGAGCACACGGCCCCTGCGTCCTCCTTGTGCCCACAGTCGTGGCGGCCCCAGCCTTGCGACGGGCACCGCCACAGCGCAGACTCCTGCCCCGAGCAGTGCAGCTCGTCCATCCAGATGTGTCCTGTCCCAGGCCCGAAGTGCGCAGCCCCTGGGGCGCTGAGCGCTACGCCGCAGCCCAGCTGCGCGCAGACCACGTGCGCGTCACGCAAGTCCCAGGCGTCGTCACACACGGTGCCCCACGCGCCCGCGTGCAGCACCTCCACGCGCCCCGCGCAGCGACTGGGGCCGGCGGCCAGGCGCAGCCCGCGGCTCCCTGCGGAGAGGCCGGGTCAGGCTCGGACGGTGGCACCCACGCGCGCGGGACAGGGCCAGTCACACTGCACTCACCTGAGCACACGACGCCCGCGTCCCGCCAGGCCCCCGCGGGCAGCAGCAGGGACGAGGACACGTTGCACTGGGCCAGACGTGTCTCGGAGCCCCTGCAGCGCGCGCCGCTCAGTGCCACGCGGCCAGCCCCGCGCGTCGGCGCGGGCGCGTCATACGCGCGCTCGGGGCCCCCGCAGCTCAGCTGCCGGCACACCACAGCCGCGCCACGCAGGTCCCACGCGGCGTCCAGCACACGGCCCCACACACCAGTCACGGACACCTCCACGCGGCCGTCGCAGCGGCTCTGTCCGTCCCTCAGTCGCAGTGCATGGGGCAGACCTGCTTGGGAGTAGGCACGGGGCCTTCAGGACAGCCGGGCAGAGCCGGCTCCGCCTCCCTCGCCCAGCCCACCAGCGGACCCACCTGAGCAGACCACGGAGGCAGTGTTTCCCTGGGCGCAGGCGGAGGTCCCCAGGGTGCTGACCTGGCAGTTCCACAAATAGGGCTCTGTGCCCTGGCAGTGAAACTCGTCGGGCCAAATGGGCGCGCCCCAGCCCCCAAAGTGCCCTCCCTGGAGAGTGGTCACTGCATTGCCACAGTCGAGCTGGTGGCAAAGCACCGTGGCGTCCTCTAAGTCCCAGTGAGCAGCGCAGAGGGGCGCCCAAGACCCCTGAACCTGGAGCTCCACGCGGCCCTCACAGCTGCTGCTGCCGTTGACCAGCCGGAACTCTGTGGGGGCAGGGCAGAACCACCGCTTCTCTCACTCCCCCCACCACCCCCGCTCTGGCTAGCACCCACCTCCACCCCAGAAGGCAGCTCCAGCCTCCCCAGAACCTGCCCGACAGGCATCTTTGTGAGCCTTGGGGAAGTGGGGAGCTGCGGACCCACTCTTTTGGTCTCACCTGAGCACCTGAGCCCGGCGTCCTGGCTATGCCCGCACTGGTGGCCGGGCCCCTGGGGACAGTGGAACAGCAGGGACTCATTGCCGGCACAGTGGAAGGCCTCTGTCCACACCAGCCCGGAGCCAGGACCAAAGTAGGCAGCCCCGGGCGTGGACACAGCAGCACCACACTGCAGCTCCCGGCACACCACATGGGCTGTGGCCAGATCCAGGTCCTCGTCACACACGGTTCCCCAGGTCAGGCCACGCCGCACCTCCAGACGCCCTGCACAGGGGTGCTCACCACCTGCCAGCCGAACCTCGGTGTGTCCTGGAGAAGACAAGCTCTGTCGGGCACAGGCCATGGCACGGGTAGTTGGTTTCAGACACAGACTTGGGATCCACAAGAAGCTCCCACCAGGGGGAGCATCTCATTCCAGCATGGGGTCTGACAGGGTTAGCGTGGAATCTGATGGCCAGACGCCACTGGCCCTCTTCCCAGGAGAGCAGGAGTGCCTGGTCACATGCCCACTACACGGGTACATGATTCAGATGGTGCCTCAGGCATAAAACAGCCCATTCAAGACCATCCTGTCCCCGGGACTCCAGGCTCTGCTCAGAGACACCCAAGAAGGTGAGCAGAGGCCTCTAAAACAGCCACGCGCCTGAGAATGAAGTTTTGCTGTGGGTCTGCAGGACAAGACCAAGCACAGGGCCTTTCCCAGCAACTGCAGCCACGCCCCAGTGGACTGAGCGATACCGTGCATAGAGGCACAGTGGGGCCTCTGCCAGCTTGCCCAGGGAGGCCATGCCACTCACCAGAGCAGACCACCTCTGCATCCTGCTGGAAGTCGCAGCCGCTACGCAGGTTGTTGTTGAGTCGGCAGTTTTTGATGGTCGACTCTGTCCCCTTGCAAGTCATGTACTTTCCCCTGGCCCCCACCTCCTGGATGGGGGCCTGCAGCACAGGGCCACAGCCCAGCTCCCTGCAGAACACCATGGCCTCCTCCACGTGCAGGCCGCAGAGGCGATCCACGCCATTCACATTCCTGATCTCGGGGAGCCCTGCACAGGGGCTGCGGCCCTTCACCAGCCTGATCTCCCGGAAAGTGCCGTCTGCAAAGGTCGTATCACAGAGGGACAGACCCTGAGAGTCAGGGATCCTGAGTCTGTGACCTGCCTCCACAGCCAGGCACGTCTACTGGGTGTGAAGTGCCTGCTGGGCCCAGCCTGGGTCTGAGAGCCTACACAGGGTCCAGCCCTATGGAGGCCAAGCCTGGTGAGGCCCCTCTCTCTGATCTGGGACACTCACAAAGGCCCTGCTCAGAGTGACCCACGTTAGACGCTGCTGCTACCACCCTGTCACTCTGCACTGGGTCCCACCGAGCACAGACCCAAAGCAGGGCAGAACTCGGTGGCTTCCCAGCTCTCGGTCACATCAAGATGGCAAGACCACCGAAGAACCCCCAGGGCCAGCATTCCCTCCCTGTCCCTTAAGAAGTCGGCTTGACTCCACCTACCGTGCAGAGACCCTGGGACTCTAGTCCGGCTCTGTCGTTTCACCTTTACCTGCTCTCCCTGGGCATGGCAGGCCCAATTCAGGCGTCACCAGCTGCAATTTAGTGCCTCACCACACTTCCAGACAGGTCAGTCTCGTGGGCCAAACACCCAGGGCTATAGACCCAGGACTAGCGGGAGGTTCAAGGGTCTTCCTGTGGTCAGCGTGGCGCTGTGCCCAGGGAGAAACCCCCTGCAGCCCCACCCCTGAGCTCCCCACCACCCCACCTCCAGCCCCTCCCATCCTCCCTACTGCCCCCCACCCGGCCCTCCTGCTGTTCTACTTACTGGCACACAGAGCGACCACCACCCACTGGTGTGGACACTCATGTGGCCCCCATGCTCCGAGGCTGCACTCCCAGAGTGAGGACTCGTTGCCACTGCAGGACACATTGTGCAGCTGAGGCTTCACCATCTCCCCTGGCAGCGGGACATACTTGGGGGCACCCACAGCCCTGCCACAGCCCAGCTGTCTGCAGACCACCGATGCCTCTGCCAGCGTCCACTCCTGGTTGCACACGTGTCCCCACACGCCTTGCTGTCGAACCAGCACCACGCCGTCACACGAGCTGTGTCTATATGCCAGCCTCAGGGCACTGGGCCCCCCTTTAGATGGAACAGGCCCACCTTAGGGCAACCAAGTCAGGGTGCAAACCCAGGTCCTGGCACCTCAGAAGGTGGAGAAGGGCCACACAGACCTGCCCACTGCCCCATGCCCTTCCTTTCCCATGCAGGCTCTCTGGATCCTCGTGTCAGGGGTGACCTCACCCCCAGAGAGGAAGCTCTATGTCATCCTGTGTCTGGAGCTGGGGGGTCTCCCCTGCTATCCCTGCCCCCCAAGCATATCTCCCCCCATCCCCTGAGTTCCCATCCAGGTGTCCTCAGACAGACACAGCAAAAAATTTCCCACCCAAGTTTCCAGAAGGTTCCATGGCTTATGGAAGGGAACACTTACCTATGGGGGCAGCCCTGAGAGAGAGGAGCAGGGACCCGAGGCCCAGGGACCAGAGTGCCACCTGCATCCCCACTGGCCCCAGGGCCTTAGCCGTTCTGCTGTCTGTTGGCACGATTGAAGACCCAGGCCAGGCCAGTCTAGCAAGTGGAGACAGTAGGACCAGCAGGGACAGAGGAAACCAGCGGGACAGCAGGGCTGCTCCGAGGCCCAGCAACTCTCTGTTGCTGTCTGTGAAGATCTGTGAAGTTCTCGGGGCTTCAGATATGAGCAAGTACCTGGCTGTGGTTTCCTCCCACACTGGAAAGTGCTGACAGGCAGCGCACGTGACCACAGCAGCAGGCACTGCCCTGCCTGCCTCTGCCCTCCAGGCGAGCACTGGTGCCCACCTTGGAGGATGACACAGCAACCCCGGCCACAGCACAGAGAGGACAGGCCAGCACAGTTTCCCAGTGGCTCTGAGCATAGCACTGCTCCTGGAGCTGAAAGGCTGGAGAAGATTTGAAAGGATCAGAGCATCCACATCAGAACTGGAAGCCTGGAAGCCAGGGCACGCTTGATGGGCAATCCAGTTGCTACCCTACAAATGCTCTGACAACAAATGGCAAATCCTCTTGCGAAAGGTTTGAACTTACAAAGGAAATCCTCAGAAAAGTGATAGAAACTGTCCCAGAGTACCCACACAATGTGCTGGTGGCCACGCTGGATGCATCTGGATTCCCCAGCTGACAGCAGAGCGGCACCCAATGACCTGTCAGGGCAACCACCAGGGACTCACCAAAGAACCAGCCCAGCTCTGAGCTGCTGCCGAGTGCATGGAGGGAGCACAGCTTTGCTGCTCCTAGCTTGCGGTCTGTGGCCCAGCAGAAGAGGGACTGCACAAGCACGGCAGAAGCGGCAGGAAGCCGAGCTGTAGGTTTCCACCCATGTAGTCCCAACAGGAAAGTCCACCAGTACAGAAGGGGAGGCAGAGTCAGAAAACAGCCACTGCGGGCACAGGGCTTCTTTGGGGTGATGAAAGAAAGTGTCTGAAATCACCCAGTGGTGATTGCTGCATAATTCTGAATACACTAAAACCCCCTGATTTGTGTGTAGTATATAAATTATAGGTAAAGGTAAAGGTAAAGAAAGGCCCTCCCGTTGATCGTCGATTTGCTCGAGCGGGCCCAGTAACGTCTCCATTGGAGACTTTGTTGTTACTGTGTTTGGCATATCGAATACTCTCCGTAGCTTGCCGGGCTCTCTGAGAGGGGCGGAGGAATTGAACTTGGGTCGGCCATGTTGGCCGCTAGTAAGGCGAACGCCCTACCGCTGTGCTATCGCTCCAGCCAGTATATAAATTATATAGTGTATATATATATATATGTAGTATATAAATTATATCTTAATTGAGTTGTTATATTTTTAAGAGCCAAATCAAAAATGTAAAACTGGTAATACAGCCTGGTCCAGTGAGGCAAGGCCAGTGGCAGTCCCATCAGGGGCCAGTTTGGTAATCTGGATCACCATCTTGCCCCCCACCCCATCCCAGGTCAGGATTATCCCTGCTTGCAAAGAGCAGGACCACTACACTCTGAAGTAAAGCATTTTTCACCTTTCCATAATTCTGTGAGAAATCAAAGACCTCCTAACTGTAGTCACCTAGACACACAAAAACACACAAGAAATAACTCCAAACTGCAAATGTCACAATGGGAAAGCAACACAGAAACCCACCAGGCTTAGTGAGTGAAGATGGTAGCCCAGAAGACTCAATCAGTAATAATGACCTATATAACCTCTCTGATAAGGAATTTAGAGAGGAACCATTGAAGATGCATAAGGAGATCAAAGAAATAATGGAATGGAGTGCCAGCAAAACACAAGAGGAGATGAGAGTATAAATGAGGAAACTACAAGTAGAAATGACAAGTCTGAAAACTTGGTAGGTGAAATGAAAAACTCACTTTGGAAGTCCTCAACAGTGGAGGAGTGGTTGCTGAGGACAGATCAGTGAGGTACAAGATGAGGTGCAGAAAACTTGCAGGCGACTGAAGAAGATGAAAAGTCTCAAACATTTGACAAGAGAAACTTGTGATGAATTCAAGAGGAACAACACAAGAATCATCAGGGTCCCAGAGGGCCAGGAAGGCAGCCCTGATGAAGAAGCAGCAGTCACAAATAGCTTTGCTGAGAAGTTCCCAGTGCGTGTGCATGTGCCCAGATCCAGGAGTCCCAAAGAGTCCCAGATATAAAAAGACCCAAATAAGAATTCTCCAAAACACATCCTAATCAGAATGATGAAAACTATAGATAGAGATAGAGTACTGGGTCAGAGCGATAGCACAGCAGGTAGGGCGTTTGCCTTGCACGCGGCCAACCTGGGTTCGATCCCCAGCATCCCATATGGTTCCCCAAGCACTGCCAGGAGTAATTCCTGAGTGCAGAGCCAGGAATAACCCCTGAGCATCGCTTGGTGCGACCCAAAAAGCAAAAAAAAAAAAAGGAGAGAGAATACTAAAAGCAGCAAGATCATAGAAGAAAATTATATAAAAGGAGTGTCCTTAAGATTAACTGCAGGTTTATCAAGCAAAATCCTCCACGCCTGAAGACAGTGGTGGGACACAGTGAAAAAATGCAAGGAAATGAATGCCTCACCACGAATACTGTACCCAGCTATACTTGCATTCAGATTTGCAGGAAAACACCGTTTCACAGAGAAACACCAACTCAGGAACTTCATAGACACAGGAACATCTTTATAAGAACAACTAAAGAGGCTATTTTAAGACACGATGAGTCCCACAAAAACACCAAACATCTTCAGAAAGATGACACATAACTCCATGACAATAATCTCTCAATATCAATAGGTTAAATGAACCAACTAGGAGACAAAATAGAAGGATGAATTAGAAAATTGAAACTAGAGAGAGCAACACACCACAGAGATGCCACCGGACCCCATGCCTGGCTTTCTCATCTGGGGAAATTTGGAGGGGTTGGGTGAATCCCACCACCCACCTGCCAAAATAAATCTCATCAACCAAAAACCTTCAGAATTCAAATGCTGCCATGCTTAAGGCTGATCTCCACAGATTATTCGTAACAGCCAATGCAAAGTTAATTATTATGTTCTGCTTTTGGGGCAGGCCTTGGGGATTGGAGTGGAATCATTCAAAATGTGGTGGTGGGAAGGTGTAATGCTGATGGGATTGGTGTTGGAATATTGAATGTAATCAATTATTATGAACAGCTTTATAAAAATAAAACAAAATTTCAAAAAATGAAAATCAAACCTTACATTCTGCTTCAACAAGAATCATATTTGAATAGTCAGAGTAAACACAGATTCAAAGTCAAAATGGATAAATTCCTAGATTCCTATAATCTCCCAAGACTGAACCAAGATAATTTGGAATACCTGAACAAACATATCACTATCGAGGAAATTGAAATGGTAGTAAAAAATCTTCCCCAAAAGAAAAGACTGGACCCAGATGAATTCACTAATAAATTCTTTCAAACCTTTGAAGAGGACCTATTGACAATCCTTTTCAGGTTCTTCTAGGAAACTGAAAAAAACAAACACCTCCAATTTCTATGAAGCAAACATCACCCTGATACCAAAAGCAGACAGATACACCACCAAAAAAGAGAACAACTGGCCAATATCCTTAATAAACACAGATGCAAATATCTTCAACAAAAATATTAGCAAATAGGATTCAACAATTCACCAAAAAGATCGTACACCATGAACTATTAGGATTCATCCTGAGAATGCAAAGATGGTTTAATATATACAACTCGATCAACATAATATACCACACACACACTTAACACACTTAACTTCCCGTTAGTCGTCGATTTGCTCTAGCGGGCGCCAGTAACGTCTCCATTTGTCCCTGTCGCGTGCTAGTGTAGCCCAATGGTATCTGTTCACTCCGGGAACATGAAGAGCCTCAAACCGATCGTTCATGATCTTGACGAAGAAGTCTGACCATCTGGTAGGTGGGCGGCCACGCGGTCTTTTGACATCCCGTGGAATTCAGTCGGTAACAGCTCTAGTCCAGCAGTCATCTTTAAATCTCATTACGTGACCAGCCCATCTGATTTTCGACACCTTGGCAAATGAGACAGCGTCCCTGATTCTTGATCGTCGACGGATGTCAGAACTCCGGATTCTTTCTCTCATTTGAGTGAAACGTGATATTTCAAGCATAGCTCTTTCTATTCTTCTTTGGGAGACCTGAATAGCGTTCTCATCTTGTTTGCGTAGGGCCCAGGTCTCTGAGGCATATGTTAATGCAGGAAGAACAGTGGAATCAAAGAGATGTGCCCGGAGCCGGAGGTTCTTCGTCCTCTTAGCTATTTCTTCGACGTTCTTGAAGGCGTTTCAAGCCGCTCTCTTCCTCCTGCGCAGCTCGGGTGCCAGGTCATTTGTCATGTTGACCTCTCGACCTAGGTACACATAGCTGTTGCATTCGGAGATGGTTGTTCTGTTGAGAGCGAATGGGGTGTCAGGAACGAGGCTGCTTCCATAAACATTGTCTTCATAAGATTCAGCTGTAGTCCTACCTTTCCACACTCACGGTCAAAGTCGGCCAGCATTTGTGCAGCTTGGCTGATGTTTGGTGTTATTAAAACAATGTCATCAGCAAAGCGGAGGTGGTATAGTTGCCGACCATCTATCTTCACTCCCATTCCTTCCCATTCCAGTCATCACATGATGTTCTCGAGGGTGGTCCTGAAGAGTTTCGGTGAAATGGTATCACCCTGCCGCACCCCTCTCTTGACATCAACGATCACTTCTTTGTAGAATGGTGAGATCCTGGTAGTGAATCCGCAATACAGCTCACGGGGGATCCTGATGTATTGGACTTGAATGCCCTGATTGGCTAGGGCTTCAATGACCGCTTCCGTCTCAACAGAATCAAAGGCCTTCTTTAAATCAATGAACGTTAAACAGAGCGGCATCTTGAACTCCCAAGAAACCTCAATGAGCTTGGTTATCATGTGGATATGGTCGATGGTGCTGAATCCTTTGCGGAACCCGGCTTGCTCGCATGGTTGTCCTTCATCTAGTGT